AACAAAGCACTGGTAGCTCCAAACATCAGGTCAAACACTAAAATGACTGATATAGGCTCAAGTGGTTTATAAAACCTATAAAAAGACTACACCAGCAAAGTCCCTGTCAATCTGTCAAGAGTTCAGAAACTAAAACAGGGAGCCACATTTTAGCTTAAAACCTTATCTCAAGAAAATCAAAAACACTTCACATGAATAAAAATACCTGAAACCAAACATTTTTAAAAGCTCCAATATTCAAAATATAAAGAAAAAAATTAATTCAGAAGACTCAATCAATCCATGGAATCACAAAACGGATGGACAATCTATATTTCCTTTCCATACTAACCATCCCATGGAAGACCAAGGGAGATCAGACCTTCCAGACCTATGCACCACCTGGTTGCTGCAAAACTACGGAGATTCCTTGTGGAACAGCAGTTTTCCATCTCTGTGTCTCTCCCTATCATGCAGGAAGCAAATCTGGCTGTGCTATTCTATTACCATTATATATCACCCATCTGCAACATGGTACTGTACAGATAAGTAAAAATTGTGTTATCTAGTTCCCTTTCCCCCAGAAGGTTGAGGCTCAGGTATGGGGTAATTCTCCTGTGCATAGTCTTTATTTAGGCTGACTCAGTGACTTCGACAGGCTTAATCATGTGGTCAGGTTTGTTGCCAGCTGCATAATGCTCCCACATCTGCAGATAGAGCTGCTCTAGTTCCATTGTGTATTGTTTGGTGTTGAACAGAGGGCTAGATATTCTCTGCTTCCAGACTTTGCCACGAATTTTCTTTAGGTATTCCAGATCAGTTCCCAGTTTCACAGCTATGTCTTCATATTCTTGTCTATTTTTAGCAATAAGCTCAAGACAACCTAAGCAAGTGAGCTGGGAAGCTGCAACTCTGGAAGCAAGGGTCTGTCCTGGCATAGTCACCATGGGTGTCCCTGCCCAAAGTACATCCATCCCTGTGGTGTGCCCATTACAGAGTGGAGTGTCCAGGCAGACATCAGCCAGCTGGCCTCTCCTGACATGTTCCTCTTTAGGAGCAACAGGAGAAAAAATGATACGGTTCTGGGGAAGGCCCATGTTTTGTGCATATTGTTGGATATTGGGCTCTCCTACTGCTGGAAAACGCAAGAGCCACAGCACACTATTGGGAACACGTTTCAGAATATTTGCCCACATCTGCAAAGTAGAAGGGTCAATCTTATATAATTGATTAAAGTTACAGTACACGATGGCATCTTCTGGTAACCCATACTGAGAACGTGTGGTTACAATAATGGTACGGGGCACCTCCTCTCCAGTTGCAGCCTTATTGTTGATCTGTGTAGTTGCCAGTCCATTGCTAATACTGAATCCATTAATTGTTATCTGAATTTGTCCCCTGTTAATCATTTCAATAACTGCTTCTGCAATGGTGTTCATGGGAATGACAGGCATATTAAGAGCTGTGTTACTGCTATCTGCGTTGTCTCCTCCATCAGGACATTTCATCTTGACAATTTTCACATCTGGTAGACTATCAAGAAATGCTTTGAGATCGATGCCATTCAGAACTACCCGATTGTCATAAATGTGGCCATTGGACTTAAAATCAATGACTGCTTTTTTCTTCAGATGAGGGAACATATTAGCATGATCACCAGTAAAGAAAGTATGGGGCATGTAAGCCGGTTTCTCAGAATACTGCTCAGCAACTTCAGCTGGTGAAGTTTCCTGATCAGTGATGATATAATCCATGAAAAGTGCACCACTAGTCCCAGGATATCCCAGCCACATTGCCTGCATAGGAACTGGCCTGAGAGCAAAGAGCTCATTTCTAGCACCCTTGGTATAACCATTCATATTTACAAGAATATGAATTCCATCCTGATGGATGCGATCAGCTGCTTTTCCATTGCATGGAATCTGAGAAAGTTCAATGAAATGATTGGCTTCTGCCATCACCTTTACTCGAAAGTTTGTGCCATCATCTGGACTCAGGGCATAACAGAATACCTCAAATTTATCAGGATTGTGCATGCCTGGAATAGACTGCATAAGGTGAGAAGTAGAATGATTCCCAAAGTCAGAACTCACATATCCTACACGCAGTCGACCATCACTGAGCTTCAGGTCTTTTGGATGTTCATATGGTGGTTTATGAAGGACATTAATCTTATCCAAGCAGAGGTTCCCATGCCTCTCAGCAATAGCCTTCCTGAAGCCATGAGAAAGAGGATACAACATAGTATGATGAGGATGCACAGAAGGTAACCTGTTCTTCTCTAACTGGTCAGCCACAATATTGACCAACTTCTTCATTCGCTCATCATAGTCTGTCCAATCACAGACAATCTGTAGGCAATGAGCCAAGTTACAATAAGCATCAGGAAAATCAGGCTTAAGTTTCAGAGCTGTGCGGTAAGAAGCTATTGCTTCTGGAATATTCCCTGAATCCTTGTGAATGGAAGCCAGATTGCTGTGGGCATCTGCAAATGCAGGGTTAATCTGGATGGCACGAGTATAACACTGCAAGGCTCCCTGAACATCCTGCATCTCCTTTAGAGTGTTTCCCATATTAGAGTAGGCATCAGCAAAGGTAGGACTTATTCGAATAGCTTCTTTATAATGCATCAGAGCTTCCTGCAGCTTGCCCTGCTGCTGTAGTACACTTGCTAAATTTGAATGGGCAGCAGCAAACTCTGGGAAGACTTCTAATGCTTTACGATACAAGTGAACTGCCTCTTCAATGTTTCCCTGTTCTCATTTGATATTGGCTAGGTTATTCAGAGAGTCTGCATGGGTGGGACATAGACGAAGAGCTGTGTTATAGCAATCTTCTGCTTCAGCAACACTGCCCTTCTCTTTGAGAGCATTGGCTAGGTTGCAGTAAGCATCAGGGAAATGTGGTTGTAGTTCAATAGCTCGCCTGTAGGTGTCTATTGCCAAATCTATCAGGCCTTGCTCATAGTATACACAAGCCAGGTTGCCATGTACCACTGCATGATTTGGACTCAAGCTTAGGGCACGAAGGTAAGCTGCCACAGCTCTGTCAAAAATGCATGCCTCTTTCAAAACATTTCCTAAATTGATATAAGCATCCAGAAAATTTGGGTCAAGTGTAACAGCCTTTTCAAAGTGATGGATTGCAAGCCAAATTTCCCCTTGTGCATTGAAAACACAGCCAAGATTACTCCAAGCTACTGCAAAGTTCGGTTGCATCTCAATTGCTTTCAAATAACATGCCTTGGCTTCTTCCAAGCGACCCAGGGCTTTAAGCAGGTTCCCCAGGTCACTGCGAACACAGTACAAATCAGGATTGTACTGAAGAGCAGAGACATAAGCTTGTACTGCTCCTTCCATATCACCTGCTGCTACCAATGCAGCTGCTAGGTTAATATAACCATCGATGAAATCAGGCTTGAGACGCAATGCATGTCGATAATGTTCAATTGCTTCCTGCAATTGCCCTCTTTCCTTGTACACATTCCCCATATTCGAATAGGCTTCTGCCAGAAGGGGGTTCTGTTTAATTGCCAGGGTGCTAAAGTGAGCAGATCTGTCCAGCCTTCGACACTGGAAGTGTATAGATGAAAGTAATAAAAGCACACCAGTATTGTCTGGCTCTTGTCTCCAGAGCTGCATGGAGTGTCTTTCAGCTGCCTCAAAATCTCCTGCCTGATATTCTCGATGTACCAACTCAGCTAACCCTTGGAAGGAAAGCATACGTTTCGTTGGTTCTGTGGTGTCGGCCACGTTGCCCACGGAAGACACCATCTGGAGCTTCTTGAGGGAGAGCAAGAAGGGGGTAATTGACTCCAACTGCTGCCACTACTGGCAAGAATGTTTCTGGAGGTAGTAGGAAGAGGACAGCAGCTATATCAGTGTTTTGGAAGGTTTAAGAGGCGGCAGCAGTTAACAGGCTTTGAACCTTGGGAACTCTAGTTGGCCATCTACCTCTCACGGTCTTGAAATCTTTCTTCCTTTTTTTTAACCATTATATATGGTTTTATTTTGTCAGTGTTTTGTCCTTGAATTCCTAACATACATTTCAACTAACTTAGGCCCACTTTCAATGAGCACTTTGTCATTTTTTGTGCATTGAGAAAACTTATAGAATAAAGTAACTTATAATATTCACATAATAACTACCTTATGGGAAACAAAACCTGCTTTATATTTAAAAATTAAAAATTTGTCAATCATTTCATCACCAAATCATGTGATTGTCAATTCTGAATGTTCAATGCACTCTATCACATAGATCACAACAAAACTTTTTATTTTATTTAACTTGATGCTATTTCAAAGAAGGAGCTGTCAAAAGCTAAACAATGTCTAAACTTAGATTATTGGGTCTGGGATAATAGCTAGTGTTAGAGCGTATGGATAGCTTTCCATTTCCATTTCCATTTCAATATGGCTTTCCATTTTCAACAACTTCAAAGATGAAATGAGAATGGGTTCTACTCATTGGCTTCAAGATCTAAGCAGAATAGGGGCTAAATAACTGAATTAGGAATAGTAAGGCAGTTTGAAAGAGAGGGAAAGGAATAAGTAGATTTTAGAAAGGTTAAAAATGTGTTTATTATGTTACATTCAAAGACACGGTGTCAAGAGAGAGATCAAAATTCAAGATTAGGGTCCATTACATGAGAATGATGATAAAGATTTGAGAGTACCATATAAGAAAAGCTCAGAGGAAAAAAAAAAGAACATGAATTCTTACAGATACACTGGATGGAAGAAGAATTTTTTATAGACACAATAAAGATATTGTGTCCAACTAAAAAATAAATATAAAAGAAGTGATTTTTAGGGTACTAACTGAAGAAATCAAAATTTGTTTTTCTGTGGTGGAAAAGTATATAAAACCACTGAAGCAAAAGACCATCTGGAGAGAGAGGAGAAGCAGCAGATGGCCGTGTGGGTGAAGAATCAAGGGGAGGAATGGGGTAAGGTTTGTCTGCACCCCCTGGTCATCAGACCCCTGGACACGAGCCCACACTGTGCGGTCACTAGCACTCAGAACTTTCTCTGACAGTACAGTCTGTGTAGCGCAACCTTCATGTCTCGGTTCCTCAGACAGTAGATGACAGGATTCAAGGAAGGGGTGAGGATGGAGTAGAAAATGGATGCCAGGCAACCCTGGGTGGGGGAGTACTGAGACGCAGACTTCAAGTAGGTGAAGCTTGCATTGGTGTAAAACAGAAGGACCGTGGTCAGGTGGGAGGAGCAGGTGGAGAAGGCCTTCCACCGGCCATCCACGGAGGGCATCCACAGGAGGGTGGAGATGATGCGGATGTAGGAGAGGACCTTGAGGGCAAAGGAGTTCATGATGACACAGCTGCCCACAGCGAAGACCATCTCCTCGCTGGAGTGGAAGTCGGCACAGGAGAGTCTCATGAGAGGAGGAATGTCGCAGAAGTGCTCAACAACATTGGGCCCACAGAAGGGAAGGGAGAAGGTGTTGAGGGCCAGGAAGGCTGCATAGAGGGCCCCACCCACCCAGGCCAGGACCACCAAGGCACAGCAAAGCCTCTGGCTCATGACGGCCCCATAGAGCAAGGGCCTGTAAATGGCCATGCACCGGTCATAAGCCATGGCCGTGAGCAGAAAGTACTCGGTTGAACCAAGTATAAAAAATATGTAAAACTGAATGACACACTCAAAGTAGGAAATGACCCCAGATCCCTGAAGGGTGGTTTCCAGTGCCTTGGGGATGGTGACCGAGGTGTAGCTTAGATCCACAAAACACAGATTCTTCAGAAAGAAGTACATGGGCGAGTGGAGGCGGCTGTCTGTAACCACAGCTGTGATGACAAGGATATTCCCCAGGAGGGCAAAGGCGTAGACCAAAGAGAAAAATAAGACCGCCACTAATCTCCATTCTGGGATGTCTGAGAAGCCCCTGAGGATGAACTGGGTCACTCTGGTGTGATTGAACATTTCTCCCTCTCTGAAGCTGTGTTCTGATGCAGTGGCCACAGAGAGCTAAGCAAGAGAACAGAAAGGGGAGATGAGCTGGAAACCTTATGCACGAAGGTCTTTTGTCTACATCTTTTGTACATCTTCTCTCAATGGAAAAACACCCAAGAAGCAGCTTATGTAATGATCATAACTCAGGGAATTATGTGATGATTTTGATGAACCAATCTGCAGCCTGTGTCCAAGTCAACTGCTCTCATCACATTGCTGGAAAACAGAGCCTCATGGAAGAGAGGGAGAGGGGAGGACAAAGGGGGAGAACAGAGGAGAGGAGAGGAGAGGAGAGGAGAGGAGAGATGTCTCACCAATTTTTTCTCCCCCTTCATTTTGGATGGCTTCAGGTAAGAAGTTTCATGTATTTACTTCATACACTGCCACAGTTCACCACTTTGGGGTGTTTCAACATTAACTCCATCAGTGATGTTTCAGCCAATGGAGAGATGTGTATTTTTTAACTCCTTCCTTCCTCTTGGTGTGACTGCCTATAGATTCCCCAAGCACTCCTAGATTTTTTTGTATGATTACCTTCTTGCCCAATTCCCTTTACTGGTGGCAATTTTGCTGTCTGTCCCTAAACTATTGATTTTATTTTATTTTTTTGTAAAGTTGAATGATTTTACTGTTCTTTTGTAGTTTCAGGATTTACTAAATTAGTAAATGATTTTTTTTAAATTTGTGAAGTACAATTAACATATTGATCAGAAAATATTTAATATGTTAAAAACCAAGAAAGACTACCTCAACTTCTAGATCAACTTCTAGGTAATAATATAAACACAAAACAACAACAAAAACCAATGACAAGGAACAAAAGATATGGATGAAGGAGGACCAGATAAGGAGGTAGAGGAGAAGGAGGAGGGGGTTAAGACAGAGAATTAAATGCAGTCACTCTTCAGCAAAGCTTTTAGCAGAACATACAGGAGATAACAGGAATGTGTTAACTGCCAATCAGGATTCCATCTGTTTGTGAAGTTTGGCTGGGTCTCTTTTTATACTGCAAATGTTACCTGAAAGGAGGTAGGATGGACCTCTTTTCTCAGAAAGAATAAAGTAGAAGCCCATTCTTCAGAGCTCAGTCTATGACCTGCAGAAAAACGCCTTGTCTTTTAGAAGATTCTTGATCATTGTACCATGTGTAACTCAAACAACTGGATTTTGCAGTATGGAATAATACTTTTGAAAACACTAGATATCTCCAAAGATTAGAAATGAAACCTCTATATGAGCCCGCTGTCCCACTGCATTGTATTCATCCAAAAGAGCTAAAATCAGCATACTATAGTGACACAGCCACATCCCTCCATGTTTACAGCATGACTCCCAATAGCTAAGATATGGAATCAGCCCAGGTGCCTATGAAGAGTGAATGGATAAAGACAATGTGGTCTATATATGCTACGGAGTTTACTGAGCCATAAAAAAAGAATGAAATGATGTCATTTGTTGGTAAATGGATGGAGCTGGGGAAAGGGGATGGAACTGGAGAACTTCATGCTAAGTGAAATAAGAGAGTAAGAAAATCAACAGTGGAATGTTTCCTGTGATATGATTAAATACATCCATGTAAATTTTTGTCCACTGTCACCTCATGTGGAAGAGTCCTAGAATTGTTTCATATCCTCAAATACATTGAGGTGAAATAGATCACAATAAACATATTAGAGTTAGAATATCTAAAACCAGTTTTGAGGGATCTTTTATAAAACAACTCTGCTAAAGCCCAGGGAAATTGTCTTTTACTGAATGCATAAACTTGATGTAAGCCTTGTTTCTAGGTGTGCATACCAAATCCCTGCACCTTAGAAGTCTGGGTTTAATATTTATTTCCTACTTGCCATTTTTTTCCCTCTGCAGGCATGATCCTTCTGAGCAGGATGGGGCTCAGTCTTTCTCTTTATGCAGTCAGTGCTCAGGACCAAGCCCAGTTGGTGCTCAGTGTAGAATAAAGGAGTGAGCAGCCTGAGTGCAACCTGAGACATTGCCCTTCACACACTTGGCTTTTCAATGTGGATCTGTAGGAGCTCGCTCTAGCATTTCCAGCAGTGGGAGTACTCAAGCTCCTCCATAAGGACAGTTAGGAATCTTGCAGACACTCAACAGAACCACACTAGAAGAAGCTTATCTGCTGTTTTGAGCCTGCCCTTCCCCAATTTGCCCAAACTCCAGGGGAGGCATTCCCTATCCTCAGCAGAACTGGACAGCCAAGAACACAGTCCATCTCTGATTCCCACAGCTCCTCTCTGTATTCAACATTAGTAAGAACTGAAAGAGGACAGTTGAGTGGGACCCTCCAATCATTGACTCCAGGCCAGCCAGTGGGCAGATAGAATGGACTTGGAGAACACTAAAGAGCATTGATTTAGGTGTGGCTGCTACCAAAGCTATGTTCCTGAGCAGCTTTTGGGGGCAGTCCTGGAATTTTCTGTTGGATGGAGACATCTGTGCTGGGGAATGGCAAGTTGTGCAGAGTTCAACCTCTAGAGTACCTATAGTGTAGGAGAGGTACCTTGGGGTCTTCTCCTTCCTAGAATTCCTGATGCAACCTGTCACATATATCCCTTGTCAAGCGCAAAGAAAAATAATTCAAAGAATGGGGTGGGGATGGGTGTGCATAGAGGTCCTTGGGGAAACCCAGAAGGGTGTGAATGCTCAGGTGGTCAGGGATGAAGCATCAGTTAACAGAATGCCCACCTGACTCATGCCAGAGACACCCAGGTGCATCTATGGCTCCTGGTTCAAGGTTCAAAGAGTAGGTGAGAGTGTGCGCCTGGGCTGAGGCTAATCCAGGAGGGTTGGGAGCCACATGTCCCCCCTTTCCATCCCTGAACCACTTCCTCAGTCCTCCCTCATTTCAGGAGGACCTGAGGAACCCTGGATGGTGAGGTCATCCCTGGGATTTTGGAAGAGAGATGTCAAATCCTGAGTGTGGGATGCATGCTTGGATGGATGACAAAACCTTTGTTACCAATTGTACGTGTAGGTGAATAGAATATAGTGGGTCTCACCAGGAGTCACTGAAGTTCAGATGTTTGTTAATATTAGTAGTTCTGGAAATTAAAATTGTGCTAATGAACATTTGCATCGTGAAAACCTGTGCCTTCTTAACAGTAAAACATTATTCCCCTGAGAATGTCTTTGTTAACAAAATTAAGCTTTAACCCAGTATCCTCGAATACTCTTCTTTCTAGAGGATGCTAACCAATGAAAGAAATGTCCTGTGGGAGCATGCTACTGCTCTCACTGGCCCATGAATACATTTGTTCCCCAGGGTTAATAGCCTGTTTATCTGCCTTTCTGCTTGAATGTGTATGTAATTGCAAAAGAGAATGCATTGTTTCCATTGCCAAAAAATAAATAATGAAAACCACATATGAAAGAATAGTTTAAAACAGGTGTATCAACCCAGCAGTGTGCATCTCACATTCCTGCATCTTCAGGAATCTGTGTGCTTTCCTTTAGGGGGTTGCCAGGTGTTGGAGGGGACAGGTAGGTGGTCTTGAACTGAAGCTCCTTGGTGCAATCCCTTAGCAGAGGCATGTTCTTCAGATGGAGGCACTGCTGTTGTTGTCCCTGGGATCCCAGCTGCCACTGTCCTGCCTGAATTCTTCCTTCCCACCCCCTCCTCTTATCACCCATTTCCCCCTGCTAGATGACCTAGGCTGCCTTCTGTCCTCTCTTCCCACTTCAGCTTTACAAGGACAGACACAATTGGTCTTTTGGTTTCTTTCTTATTTTTTTTCAATTATCCCCACAAAGACTATAGGCTGACCACATACCTCACAGAAAGGCCATCTGTGTCCTGCTCACAGCTGGTCAGTCAAGGACTTCAGACTTGCAGTGTCTACATGGTTATGATGTCTTGAGTGTCCACATGCTTGTAAATAAACTCCTGCTTAAACAGGATTCACAGGCAATTCTCTAAGAGTATCTGGTGCATTATTCTTGCTCAATAAGTGTGAACACTTTATATCTTTTCTCTACACAGTTGGGGTTTTCTGGAGACACATTCACCCCATGCTTCCCCAATTAGACCTGAGTCTATGATAGCAGTTGGCGGTGCACATGAAGCAAGCTGGTCCCCTACATCTGAGGTATGTTTATCAGAGGCAGTATGCATTAGCTCACAACTCCTGCAAAATTGGAAAGCTAAAACAATGTTATTTGTGGATATCTTCAAGTAAGTAATGGGGGATGATAAAGAGGATTCATCTCCGTGGAGTGAGCCATTTGATGCTGTCAACGTTCCTCAACAGATTTAAAGTTATTTAAACAGCCACAGAAGTAGGAATTAGCAGCGATTCCCATCTGGAATATAAATAAGACTGTCCAGCTAGAAGTAGACATGTGTTATTGTACATAACTGATATGCAGACGTGGTGGGGAATTTAAACTCTGACTGGTTGTAAAATGCAAATAATCCACCCATTTACCTGAGCCTTTGTCTGATTTCTCTCCCTGCAACATTCTAAAATAAATGGAAGTCATGAAAAATTAAAGACATCACTTGCAGTTAGGTATCTATTAGGTTTTATCTCAACTAATCAGATCTCGCATGGAGCAAGACTTACTTTTTGCATCCAGACACATCCAAGTGAGGGCAGAGCAGAACCTCCTCATCCGCAAGTAGGCAAGTCCTAGAGAGGAGAAGGCTGGAGAGGTGGGTGGAGTGGCTGGTTCTTCTGCATGTCCATTAAATAATGGGCCTTGTTAACACTTCCACACCATCAGGGAAAATGAGGTAATGTGATTGGAGCTCTCTAGGGAGCTTGCCCTGGGAATATATTTGGTGCCTATTACTGGAAACTTTATTTATAGATAACATTGATTAAGAATTCCTAGGGGCACTCTTTGAGAGAGCTTGAAAAAGAACAACCTGGGAAACATGGAAATGCCAGTTAGTGAAAGAAATTTTAATAAATTCATAGTAGAGGTTGATAATGTAGGAGTTTATCTGGCTG